AATATTTTCATTCTCCACTATTGCCTTCAATGCATTCTTGACATTGACATCTTTGGAACTAGACAAATCACATTAGGAAGTAATCAGGGTATGTCCACATTCTAGTAGGCAGAACATAAATGGAAATTATGTAATCTTTGGACTAAAAATGAGACAGTGAAAAAGCAGAGGTACGTTCCATTTGACTGTAAGTAGGACTTCACAGGGTATTCCGCCATCTTAAGTGAGATTTCAATCTGAAGGGAGCGAACATGTTCAGTTCGAAGGGCACTGTGAACGGCATAGGGAATAAGGGAACATTGATTCATCACTTAACAGGAAGTGGAGAAGGAAAATCACCCAACTGTCATTGCGCACCGCGTCACCAGTAGAACTAATGATGGAGGAGAGCTATTGAAAGAGTTTTTTAAAGGCTGCAATGAAAGGGGTTGCAATAAATGTTATTATTATACAAATTGGAGTATTTATGAATGGTTATGGCGATGTTACATTTGCATATTGTATTGTATGACGAGGTGAAACTAAGTAAAACCGGTGAGAAACAGCTGAGGCTCTGTCAATTTTTATTTGACTTTATTTTTCTAGTAGGCAGAACAACATAAATGGAAATTATGTCATCTTTGGACTAAAAATGAGACAGTGAAAAAGCAGAGGTACGTTCCATTTGACTGTAAGTAGGACTTCACAGGGTATTCCGCCATCTTAAGTGAGATTTCAATCTGAAGGGAGCGAACATGTTCAGTTCGAAGGGCACTGTGAACGGCATAGGGAATAAGGGAACATTGATTCATCACTTAACAGGAAGTGGAGAAGGAAAATCACCCAACTGTCATTGCGCACCGCGTCACCAGTAGAACTAATGATGGAGGAGAGCTATTGAAAGAGTTTTTTAAAGGCTGCAATGAAAGGGGTTGCAATAAATGTTATTATTATACAAATTGGAGTATTTATGAATGGTTATGGCGATGTTACATTTGCATATTGTATTGTATGACGAGGTGAAACTAAGTAAAACCGGTGAGAAACAGCTGAGGCTCTGTCAATTTTTATTTGACTTTATTTACCTCAAGTAACGTTATGAGGCTGCGTGTGGGAAAGAAAGTATGAGACCACTACAATCTGTTAACAGTCTAAACATCTACATTTTGACTACATTTATTAGATACATAATCGTATATGTATTTTATATGTATATTTAATTTTAAAAGTAAAATAATTTACAATATTTATGTTATATTATAATCTGCGTGACCCCGTCATTGCCTTTCTTTGATGACGTTCCAGGCCATTCCAAATGAGCGATTATTGTCAGCGAAGTCAATTTCAATGGATATCCCGTGCTTAGGGAATATGGAGCAGTGAACACTGCGTAGGGACCCTATCAATCGGACTGCAACATTTGTCCTTTGTGGTGTATTCTATAGTGTAAAAATATGCTTGAATTATTATTTTTTTTGTTTAAGTGCATCACCACAACTAACAAGTTAATTTTGATAAACTTTACTATGAAAACGCAAACATACAAACAAACACATGCAGTTAATTAGGCAGAATATCAAGGTAAATTTTATTTATAAAATAAAGCACACATTTGGATTTTTTGCCACTTGGAAAGCCCTGATGGGTTACCTGCTGATAATGTCTCAGAAGTAAGTCCCTCATTGCAGTGAGACTCCTGGTGCTCAGGTGGCCGTCCTTTATAGAGCCATGTTTAGTGGCTATTACTAATGCCTATGAATGTGAATGAACAAAACAAACACAAAAATGAGATTTTACTTTTTTGTGTGGGGAGAAAAAAAAATATTCCATTGATCATATCTGTTGCCTCAACATCTGGTTATACACTACAAATTAAAGCAAAGTCGAACAAACAAACAAACATATCACACCAAAAAAGATGGCTAAGGAAAGCCAAAAGGATATACATATCAAATGTCACCTGACAAAGAAATATCTTATGTTTGGCCATGAGGTTGGATATAAACACATAGGAAGTATGCAGGTGGTGCACAACATAAGTTGGCTTAAGGTGGTTGGGTTTGCTGAAGTTGTCTCCCCATGCAATCCGAATCCATATAGCCTCATCCTCATGTTTCTTCATCTTAATGGAAATCTTCAAAAGCAAAATCAAAAGCTTTGAATTAATAGACTACTAAGTGACGCTACTTTGAATTCTTAAATGGAAAAAAAGTTTAGTTGGATTTGAAAGCTTAAATGCCAAATGAAGTTGTGTTATTACATTCCGAATGACCCCTTGCAAGTGTGCCTTAAACTGCTCTTTAAACTGTGTCAACTCTACACAAACTGCATCATCTGTGGAGAAAACGAAAAGGAACTGCTTTAAACAATGATTCATTTCTCTAAACAAGTCAAAAGAACCATACACTTAACATGTACCAAGCTATGCTCATTGTACATTCCCTCAAATCAATTTAACAATGAAATGCGTAAATAAAACACTCTTACCCTGTGCCTCAGCGAGCTGGCATGCATGCCAGGTGCCTTGATCAGGGTTTTCTATATGATCTAATGGAAGAAAAAAATGTCAGGCTCAGTGGGTTAATTCAGATATTTACTTTTAAATTACAATAAATGTTTGTATTAACAAAAAAGTAAATTTTACTCACAGATCATTTCCAAATTAGTGATGTGCTTCAGGTTAAGTCTGTTCTCCTACAATAGGGAGAGGAAGAGAGAGAGAGATTTTAAACAATCATTTTAGTTAACGTTTACTCCTATATCTAAAACTCGCTGCCTGTTCTGATAGGAGTCCCAGAACCAATTTAATAATAATAATAATAACAACTCCAAATGTGTTGCTTCACTATTTTTTTTAAATCATAAATTCACGACATCATAAATTCAAAACACCGCTATGCAGATAATATAGAAGTCTGCTGGATGACAATGTACTATTACCATATCCTGGATAACAATCCTATTTCTTGCCTTTTTTTCCTGTTAAAACGTAAGCTAAAGATTTCATGAAATCTGTCTAACGTTACTGGGTTTGGATTAGGTCATATGCATTCACCGAACACATACATTAATTTGAAATTATACTTTTAAATCGTTATTTTAAAAAATGGACTCAAACAGTATGGAAATCAGCTGAAAAAAGACGGTAAATTAACGGTAGTATTCACCGATCTGTGAGGTAGTATGCCATTTAATGGATTTTACCTCACCTCACAGAAATTGATGACATGTTCCACTATCATCCATTTGGGCCGTGTGTAATCCAGGGCACGCAGCTGATCTGCTGATAAACTGTTCCATTTCTTCAAAAGATTTTCTATATTTTTGTTCGGTATTCTCCGGATTATCCGATTTAGAACAGATGTGGCTTGTGCGTCCATCGTACGGACGAAAGGGTTCTACGTTAAAAATGAATACAAATGGTCATCATATCATTCGCGTTTTAGACGTTCAAAACAAACCGCCAGAAATCAAACGGAGATCTGAACCGGAAGTTCCGGTCTAAAGCGGGCGGGCAATGACATAAAAGTCTTTCATATGCAACAGAATTATTATATTAGTCCTCACGAATATTGATGAAACAATTTAGTCTGTTCACATTTAGTGCTCTATTCAGAAAGAACAGCGATGAAGCTTGTCAGAAATCACTATTTATTTCATCTGGTTTGTGCGTTAAATGATAATCAAACATTAAATACACTAATCTAATGTGCATTATCTTGCTCTCTATTATGAAGTGAAAGAAACATAACATTGTATACAGAGTTCATATCGTTCGGATTAAATGACCTTGAATGCTCTCAATCAGTTTTTATTAATATTACAATTTTTTTTTTTTTTTTGTAATAATGGTAAAAAAAATTTTTTTATATTTTATTTTATTAGTATAATTATGTTGTACAATTACATTATACAAGGATTGTTTTTCTAAAAAACAAAATATATACATTTTGATTATTTAAATTGGCAGCAGTAAGAGGTCGTGAGTTTTTTTCCGTCTGCAAGGACATAAAGTATTTTATTTACTATTAATTTGACTGGTCTACAAGGATGAGGACTGTTTTTTTTTTTTTTTTTTTTTTAAATCAATATAAATAGGAATGACTTTATATATATATATATATATATATATATACACACTAGATTAAGAATGGACCATATTAATCTTAATGCAACACTTCATATAATCGGCAAACATAATTCTGGTTTATGTAATGCATGTCAGGAAATGGAAACGGTTGAGCATGTTTTGATTAGATGTAAAAAAAAATATAAACAGGAAACAACTGAACTTATAAGAGATATGCAAACTTTGGGCATTTTGGAATTTACCTTATATAATTTTTTTAAGGTAGGAGTAGAATTTAATAAAGTAATTACAGCATTAATGACGTTCTTGAGAAATAGCGGTCTAAAGAACAGAATATAGAAATCTTCTTTGTGTTCCATCTTCGTCGAATAAACAAGAAGAAGAAGAAGAAGTGAAGGGAACGCAATTTGTTCAGATTCAATGGCATCACTTTCAAGCTTGAAAACGTTACAGTCATGTAGGAAAGATACACTGATAGAGATATTCATAATTTTATATAGAATAAGTCAAATGGGAAGTGTAGTGCAATTTGTATGGGTACCAGCGCATGTAGGCATACGAGGGAATGAAACAGCAGACAAAATGGCTAAAGAAGCAATTAAAATGGATAATATTAGCGTAGCAGTCACTTTAAGCAGGGCAGAAGGAAAGTCTGTGATTAAGCAAGTTTGTAGGAGTAAATGGCAGAACTACCGGAACTCGTTCCCAGTAGGTGGCGGAATATGCACCAAAAGCTGGTTTGACAACCGCTATAAAACATCAAAAGAAGAAGAAGAAGGGAAGGGAACGCACACAAGCTGGGTTTTTTTTTTGCATGGGAGCTGAACACGCAGCAGCCAGAAATACAGCTTGGGTGAACCCGAAATAAAATTAACTATAAAATAAAATAAAATATGAATAGAGACGGGACTATCATCCATGTATGAATATAAACAGTTGGTGGCGGTATGTGCCTATGGTGCGGAATACGCCAAAAATTCCAAAGAAGAAGAAGAAGGGAACGCAATGCACCATAGGAAGGCACCACATATGATACGTAATAATTAGTTGGATAGTGTGGTTTTAAAACGGGTTATTGCATTACAACGTACATAACTGAAATCTCTGTCAGACTATCAAATATATATGAGGAGCTGAGCAAAATACTTTTCTGACTCACTGTGAACACGTGAATGTCACTCTGTAAACACGTGAACTGTGCTGCCCTTCACGAGCAACAAACAGCTGGATTGGAGTAATTTACTTGATTTGCAGAGCTGTCAATTCAGCCTCTGTTCTCAGACGAAACGTCTATAAGACCATTGGTGAGCTGATAATCTTTAATAACTTCTATGTGTAATTGACTGCTTTTTTTTTTTTAAATAATAAACAAACGTACACAAAAGATACATCTGTACAGTTAACACCACCGAAAAATAACTATGGATAAAGGTATAAAAAGTGTGTGACATATCAACACGAAACTTATTAATTTAAAAAGGTAATGACAGTGTACTTGAATGTCACTTTACTTACTTTATTAGTTATAACGCATTTAAAAGAAAATGTCCACACTTTTCCCCAGTCATTATTACTAACAAAGTTCTCTCACTACAGCACCATATATGGAACTGTTACAAGTTCTTTTTGAAAAAGAATTCACAAGGTGTTCAGATCAATTTCCACTATTTGTTATGTTGCAGCCTTATGCTGTAATGCTTTCAATTTTAAAGTATTATCAATCACAATACACCATTCAGATTTGTGCTTTTAAAAGTATATTACCGGTAATAAAGCATTTTAGCGTAGCTGGGAGAAATTTGGATTAGTGCTTAAAGGGGTCGTATGATGTTGCTAAAAAGAACATTATTTTGTGTGTTTGGTGTAATGAAATGTGTTTATGCGGTTTAAGGTTAAAAAAACACATTATTTTCCACATACTGTACATTATTGTTTCTCCTCTATGCCCCGCCTTTCTGAAACGCGTCGATTTGTTGCATCCAGTGGGGACATAATTACTGATTATAATGACTTATACTGTCTTTTTACGCGTTGCGTTGCATTGCGCCGCGTAAACATAAAACCATGTCTGCATTTGTGATCGGAGAAATAACAAACAACAAGCCCTACTCTACACTGCCCAAAATTCGCGTTTGAATCATCAGTGGCAAATCCTTTAAATATTAAAACGTACTTACAGTCTGTGAGTCAGAACAGCCGGCATTGTAGTCTACTCTCCCAGGATCAGGAAACAGTCCTCCATAAAATGTGCTGCACACAGCTGAATATTTGGGTTAAACTGTTCTGGAACAGTGTTGTAAATACAACTTAACCACTGACTTGTAGTCGTGTCCTCTTTTGGAAGACCAAACAAAGTAGTGACATGGCGGCGGAAACAACAAAACTACAGCGAGAATAAAAGTTACGCCTTCTTTCTTTGCGTGAACATTTGGGCGGCGTTATGCAAATCTTCCCACATCGTGACGTAGACATGTGGGGGCGTGTTAGAACGGGCAGTTTTAGGTAGGCGTGGTTGACTTAACTTTTATAAAGAATATCTCTTTGTATTTGAGACTTTAGTCTTTGCAACTTTACAGATCTTATTTATGCACCAAGAGCTTGTAACACTCCAAAGAGAAAGGAAAAATTGAAATCGCATCATATCACCCCTTTAAAACCCTTTGCAAATCGTTTTAGATAATTTGTAAAGGTTTTGTGGTATCTGTGGCCATCTGCTGGACAAAATGATTAATAGCACGTAGCAAACTGTTGTGTCCCATTCATGGTCCCATTACAGCAACTTGTTTCACATCACATCTCTTCTTTGTCATGATCATCAGATAGATGGATTGATAGATAAACATTATTCTCGAAGTAATTCATTTGTTTGAACATATTGGCACTAAAATAAACATAAATTGAAATTATTTTACACTGTGCAACTGGGGTAAAATTATGCAAGTGTTTCATAAGTTTTCATAAACAAATACACAAGTCAATCAACATTTTTTGTTTTAAGAGATGCTCCGTGACATTACACTGTGTTGCCACTAGGACTAAATACTCTTTCAGGTGGGGAACTAGTTGCTGGAACACAAAAGCACTTCTTGGCTAGTTTGCAGGAGGAGTCAAATTGCCTTTTGGTGCCGTCTTTGGCACAATACATAGCACTAGTATGTATTTGAGGATAATAACTTTTATGGTGACACGGTGCAAGTAAGTTTGCAACAAAGCAGTCTATGATTTACAGACACAAAATGGGCTTTTTACACTTAAATAGTTAACAAATTAGGTGTTAACTAATAACCCTTGATATTCATAAACGTTTCATATTGTACAGTCTTAAACCCAGGGTTAGCATTCTTTTTTGCATATTTGTGATGTCATTGATGAGGATGAAAGCAGCACCCTACTTTACATAAAAGCTCTAGTGCTCATATTATAGATTGCCAACTGTACTATCAAGTTTTCCTGACATTTCTGACTATAAGTCTACGAATTAAATGGTCTCTAATTAATGTGTTTTGTCCACCACTGTGTGAAAAGTCCTCAAGAGTATATACATTTAGAAATAGAGTTGAAGCTCTGATGCTTGGCTTTGATTTTTTTTTTTTTTTTGGACACAAGTGTC